AAGATGATCAGGGGACTGGAGGCCAAAGCATATAAGGAAAGGCTGCTGGAATTGGGTATGTCTAGTTTAATGAAGAGAAGGACGAGGGGGGACATGATAGCAGTATTCCAATATCTCAGGGGCTGCCACAAAGAAGAGGGAGTCAAGCTATTTTCCAAGGCGCCTGAAGGCAGGACAAGAAGCAATGGATGGAAACTAACCAAAGAGAGAAGCAACCTAGAACTAAGGAGAAACTTCCTGACAGTTAGAACAATTAACCAGTGGAACAACCTGCCTCCAGAAGTGATGAATGCTCCAACACTGGAAGTTTTAAAGAAGAGACTGGACAGCCATTTGTCTGAAATGGTATAGGGTTTCCTGCCTGAGCAGGGGGTTGGACTAGATGACCTCCAAGATCCCTTCCAACTTTATTATTATTATTATTATTATTATTATTATTATTATTATTATTATTATTATTATTATTATTATTATTATTATTATTATTACTTTCTAATCATTTTGTACCCCATGTTAATCTTTTCACTATTTTCAGATGGCAAACATAAATTAGGTACTGTGAGTCCTAAAACAGTCTTCCCATAATTAAAAGACCCACATCTTTCAATAAAAAAAAAAATCTCCATCCACCACTTGTCATATGGATTGTCCCACTTGAAATAATTGACTTATTCCCTGAAAAAAGTAGAATCTTCTATTGAGAAAAAGTTTTGTACCCAGTGCTGGGATTAAAATATGTGAACAACCGGTTCTCTGTGTGGATGCCGTTTTTGGAAGTCCATTCTGGGCCTGGACAACAAAAAATTAGCTACGGGTTCTGCCGAACCGGTGCGAACAGGCTGAATCCCACCACTGTTTGTACCCCCTAAGCTGATACTAGTAGCAGGTTTTTCAGGAAACAATTTGAATCACTGATATGGTGCGGGTGACAAAATAAAATGCCCTACTTCTAGCACTACGTACCTGAACCTGCTACTATTTTTAAAGTGTAAAAATGACAGCAAGAGATCCTATCATGAATTTTTAATTCACCAAACATAATATGATAATCTAGACTGATAAAAGTTGAATGATACTACCAGGCACCAGTGCTTTTTGAGGTTATAATCAAGTCTTGCCACTTGTTTTTGTGGGCAAAATCATCTACACCAGCGGTTCTCAACCTATGGGTCGATCGACCATTTCACGGGGGTCGCCAAGCAAGGCTGTCCGCCATTTCCCCCCCTTTTCCGGCAGGTGCCTTACCTCCCTTGAGCTGGGCCAGCTGGTGGTTGGCCTGCTCTGTCTCTGCCGCTTGCCAGCTACGCCTCGGCCGGCGCAGGGGGCGGAACCACGCATGCGTGGTGCTCCCGGGCAGGGAAAGTCCTCGAGTTACGACCGGTTGGGTAGTCCTTGACTTACAACCGGTTTAGTCCTCGACTTACGACCGGTTTAGTCCTCGACTTACAACCGGTTTAGTCCTCGACTTACGACCGGTTGGGGGTTGCAGCATTAAAAAGGTTGAGAACCACTGATCTACACCCAAGCCAACAAAAGAATATTGATTATGTTTCTACTGCTCAATGCAGAGTATTTCCCTACTTTCGCTTGGTACAATAAGCCTTGGCAACATGTTTTTTTCTGCTATGTTCCTATGATATCGCTTTCACTTTCCCCTGAGCCCATGAGAGAGAAGCAATCTTAAGTTGTCTTTAGGGTGTCAAACTATTCTCCAAAGCACCAGAGGGCAAGACAAGAAACAACGGTCGGAAACTGACCAAAAAGAGAAGCAACCTGGAATTAAGGAGAAACTTCCTAACAGTGAGGAGAATTAACCAGTGGAACTTGCCTTCAGAAATTGTGGGTGCTCTATCACTGGAGGTTTTTAAGAAGAGGCTAGACAGTCACTTGTTTGAAATTGTATAGGTTCTCCTGCTCGAGCAGGGGGCTGGACTAGAAGACCTCCAAGGTCCCTTCCAGCTTCTATTCTATTCTATTCTATTCTATTCTATTCTATTCTATTCTATTCTATTCTATTCTATTCTTCTGCTGTTGAGTTATGCTTTCCTGTTTAAGCCTGTAGCAGCCAACAAAAAACAACAAGACATAGAAAAATTGGTAAAGTTCCCAAGTTATTGTATTGCAGAGGAAATTAGATAACTAATAAATGAATGGGATCAAAATAGGACTTACTGTCATTTTAGCCTGATACAGGCACATCCTGTTCCCATAGGTCTTTGATAAACATCATATGTTGCCCTTCTATTTCTCCTTAAGGAGCTGGACATAGCAACGATATGCCGATGCTCTATTAGTTCTACAGAATAGTAGCAGATTCTCCAGCTGACAGTATTGTAAATGTCTTAATTCCATGTGCCTTAAATAATAGAATTATAGGGCCACAGTCCTACATAAAAAACTGACAGCAGGTAATAAAAACCTGAAAGGGAGAGAATACTCAATCACTCAATTTAACTTTATTCATATACAGTATATCTGCACTCTTTTAGAACTGGCTTTGACTAGTTTATGGCCCAAGAAATTGATTGTCCAAGGAAATATATCTAGACAATCTAGTTAAGGTTCTTCCAATTAATTTAACTAGACCTTCTGGCTGTTAAAAGCTTTGCTTTGTTCTTTACAACCTATTTTCTTTTAAACATGTTTGTCAATTTTCACCTATTGGCTACTAATTGGCCTTTTTCTCTTCGCGTGTAATGCCCATTTGGATTTTTTTTTAAATTCCAAGAATTCCTCTGAATCACATAAAAGTCAAAATCATACTTTTTCACAAAGTACTAACTATTGTAATTATTGATAGCATTTTAGTATGTCTACAACTATAATTATTTGTCTGGCAAAGTACATTTTACTTACATACAACTTTCCTGGAATGTAGCAAATCTCCAATATTTTAGTATCTGGTAATGAACATATTAATATATATTTTATGAGATGTAAGGAAATGCATATTTAATAAGTTTGTTCTCTCTATCTTACGTTTGCTGCAAAACAAAATACGATAAGCCCGTGCATGGAAGCTTCCTAAATGAGAAGTGGGATACAAATGATGAGTTCTCTGCTAATCAGTTTTTGTTGTTGTTGCATTTGAGTCAATCTTGACTCCTGGAACTGCATGGATGAGTCCCTGAAGGCTTTTTTTGGCAAGATTTTCAGAAGTAGTTTGTCATTGCCTCCTTCCTACAGTTGAGAGTAAGGGACTGGCCCGATATTTCCCAGCTGACTTCATGCCTAAAGCGAGACTAGAACTCACAGTCTCCTGTGTTCCAGTCTTGAAAAGAGTCACGGGGCTCTGCTGTATGAATTCAAACTCTGCATTTGCTACAATTCTGAGTATTTCTACAGCTACAGATCTTAGACCCGCATTTATGTAATGAATTGGTTACTGTAGCTGAGGAGGGGTTTTATGATATACTATAAATTCTATTGTGTATAACCAGATTAATAACAGTAAATCAATGTTATCATATTGAATATCAGCTGAATTGCACCAAAGAACCAATAATAATTAATGATTATGGCCTGTTCTTTTCATAATGAAAACACCTTATCTTTTGCAACCCCTATGATTTAAACTGCAGATAGTAAATTAAAATTTCTGCAGGCAATTTGAACTGTTCTTCAGGAACAGCCCATGATTTAATGTCTAATATAAATCCCAGTGGGTACTTTCTGGCCCTTCAATGGCTAATTCAGAAGCAAAAAGGACTAATGAAAGACAGCAGCAACCTACTCTATGTAACATTAAAGAAGAATATAATAAAGGTAAGAAGGAACGTTGAAGGAAGAGACAGTAGTACTTAGAAGTGTA